TTTCTTCGGGAAATAGCACAGACTTGAAATCTGGTCAAAGTTTTTTGACGATAAATTCTCACGTCACTTCATCTGCCGCCCCTTGCTTGATAATTCTTTTGATTGTTTTCTTTGTATCTTGTATCACACTTTAGGGAAACGATAGCCACAATTCCCACCAATACGTAAAAGATACCGCTGATAGCGATAGTGACTCTAAAGAAAAAAGAACAGATTAAGAAGAGTGCCAAGAGAAATACATCATGAACATCAACAAGTAACTGCTCCGATTCTCAATCGCTTCGACGCCATTCGAATTACGTTTCAAGTTAGGAATCAGTTTTTAGGAAGTGTGAACACACGCGCCAAGCATTGAATCGGTCCAGGTCGTTCATTGGCTAGCAGACGGGCCCAAACGAGTCATTCGATGCCACCCCTTAAATCGAGGCTCACCCGGACTTTCAGTCCAAGCAGAGTTCAGTCGGACTTCTTACAGTTGCCGTCTCGATTCTTGACATTCACTGCAAACAATACCATATGTGTAATTTCACTTTTACCCCCAAACTGTCAAATTCATTAATTTTTTTTCTCATTTTTACGCGAGGTTTCGCAACCCGTAATCGAGGGCAGTGAGTATTTTGATTGCGCAGCCAATCATTGAAAAAAAAAACCGAGTTTTTGCTTTCCAAAAGGGATGGGGGTGAGAAAGGGGGCGTGGACAAGAAACACATTTGGACTACAAGTGATGAAACTAACAAAAAGAAAATAGCTGTTATAGCAAAATAAAGCAACAGTATAGTACTAACTTAGAGCTACTATAATCGCGATGATGTTCTTCACGACTGTAGTGCCATTTATTCTTTCGGAGAGCTACTTGTTCTTTGCAGAGTAGAATGTTAGTCTTTCAAATAAAAAGCCCCTCAGAAATGTTTTATCCAAAAGCTGACCGCAATTCTCTCGTCGTAGACCACCAATACCCGGCGCTATTCGTTCGTGTAATGCATTTCTTCTTAACTTCCCCTTTCGTCGGTTTTTTTGGTTATTCACGTAGCAAAAAAAAAAAGGAATTCTGTGACGAGGGTGGGAGGGTGAAGGCAAGGATAGAGTGAGATTGTTTACGTTCTGAGCCAGGGAATGTAATGTAATCAGCACCTCTTTTAACACCTACCACAAACAAGGGTTAAGAACGATCCGCTCGGCTTGCTGAATCTCGTTAAGAACCACGAAATCGTGGCAAGATTTGAATTCCGCTTCGTTTTCAATTGTTTTTTTTATGTTTCGTGAAGTTACCCTACGAAAGTGCTTATTCGACCAGCGATTATAAATTCTGATGGTCTCCTATATGGTTGGCATTTGGGAAGAGGAGATTTTCACAAATGACAAGATCCGATCCTGTGAGATGTAGTACTGCTTTGTCGTAGCGCCCATTAGCACTGGCTAACGACTTAGCACATGCTATTACAACGTCGGATCATTTCATTACTCTGGATGTTTAACCTACGTTCTTAACTGCACAACATGACTGCTTACATGAAAAGACGGCTGATATGAGAGATGAGAAATGTTGACGCTTGTCAATAATAACTGCCGAGGCCATCAATATCCACGAAATGCTGAGTCTGTCATCATCCACAGGCCACAACATATGTTCATATTCAATTACTACCTTTGAAAAAATATCGTTCTTCCCTCCGAATTTTCTAACTTTTTTTGTTTTCCCTTTCTTTTGCAGTTCATTTTACGTCCTTTCACCAACAGCCATATCCATCCGTTCAGAGGCGCATTCGATTGCGTATCTTACTTGCCAAGGCCAACTCGTATAGAACTAGCGCCTTCCATCGCTCCTGGCGGGTCTCCAGCCAATCGACAGTAAGAATAGAATGCCTTTGAAACTCTAGCGATACCAGATCTATGATTTGAAGAGTCATTCTTCATAAAAGAAGGGCCAGAAAGTCGCTGCCAAACCACTGACTATCCTCATAAGAAAGATAAGAAATGGTCACAACCAGCTCGAAAGATTACTATGGAAGCTAGCCGGTCAGCTAAGTCTTTATTCGTCTCAGTCCCGATCCATCCGAGTCTGGTGAACCTTCCTTGCCAGAATGATACAAGACGCATCAAACTTCTGGTTAGACTTCTTGAGAAAGCCTGACTATCTATCCAGCCACCCTGGTGTTCGTTTGACTCCCTGGGGATCCAGTGGCGAACCTACCCGGCCAGCAGTCATCACAAAGTTGCATGACATGTTCAGCCCAGCTAATCTTTGATCCTTTACCATGTGCGGAAACGTTCGTGATCTTCGCTCGTCGACTGAGTTCGTAATTCATATTCCCTTCTGCAACAGCTTTACGGGGGTAGTCTGAGCATTGCCGTTTCCACAGCTCGCCTGGGGTTCATTATCTTGATTCATTTACTAAATAGCTACAAAATAGCTTTCGTCAATTGACTCCATCCCTAAGAGCGATGTGGCTAGCGTCTGCTATCTTGTATCCCCTGATACAAGGAATTCCGTCGTAAATCTTCCAGAGAGTGGACGGAAGTAACGGAAAGTGGTCGCCTAGCCGATTAGGAAAACATGCATGAGTAGAGTAGTCGTAAGATGAATGCAGACGGCGTATTGACCAAGAGTCATCAACAAACTCAAAACAAGCGCAATCAATATTCATATTTCTTTGCAAAAAACCCCAAAGAGCGCTTGTATTGTGAAGTCTTGAAATTGCCGGGCCACCTGTCTCAAGCCGTCTACACGCCAGCTAACGTGGGTGGAGCAAAGACTGGATTGTCATATATTCCTCTGGCAGAGCTGTAAGATTGAATCCCTCACCCCAAGCTAAGTCTTCTAGCATTTCAGGTCTCTTGAACAAAACTAATTCGAAAAGTAAAAAAGCTGGTTCATCGAGTAGCCTGCAACCTTCTTTCTATGCACTTACAATTAGCAGGACCAGCGGGCGTAAATGTATCTGGATTGCTTGAGTATTATCGAAGGAATTGGAATATACTTTTTAAAACTCATTTTATCAAAATAAATAGAAATAGCGCATGAAGTACAGAAAATAAGGCACAGAGCTATTGAGAATAGCTTTGCATGCTGACAGATATAGCTTATTCGGACTCCATGAGGCCCGATTGAACATCTCTCTCCGAATGGGCCATGCATTTAGCTTCAGTGAGGATTGCAGACCTTTCGAAGCATATTTGGTCTACATTATACAACGACTCACGGATTCAGTTGATGAAGAGCAAAGAACATAGTTCGGATTAGAGGGCACCAACTTCGCTCACTCGGAGTTTTTTAGGAAATTTAAAACTTTTAGCCTTGTTTGAGCTTTTTTTCGCAAACTAGTAACATATTCCTTCACTCTTCCCCTACCCCTTCGCCTCCCCTTTTTCCTCTCTTTATGGAGCGATCAACATCATGCCTCAAACAACGACTAAATCATTTTCCGCTGACATACCTTGCCGTTAAAACACTTGCCCATATGCGGCGAAGACGTTATTCCTTGTAAGGTTTATATTGCATTTACAGACGCCATTATTCTCACCATTAACCTACTTCTCTACATAAACAGGCGTGTTTTTATAAACAACTACTGATTAATTAATTACTGATTAATTACTTTGGAACTACTGCGCTTTCCTCTTTCGTTCTGCTCGTTCACTTCACAAGCAACGACAGCTTATTACATTCTGAATTTCTAAAATCAAGCCCTTCCTCTTTCCGTAATACAGGTTTCAAGAATGAAAATCGAATACGAGGCATACTAAAATCAATCGATCCTAAGCGTCTTAATTTTATCTTGCTGAAAACCAAAGCTAAAAATCACTACCTCTGCTCTAGGCACAACCTAGCTCCCCGCTTTCCTTCAACCCTTCTAAATTTCCCTTCTATACAGACACCGAAGAAAGGCCCCAATTTCAGCATCAAGTTCGCTCATATTCTACGGCGAGATGGAATGAAAAAACAATTCAAAGTTCAAAAAAAAAGTTACGTCAAAACAGAACCTGTCGTTTATGATCGTTTCAATTGCATATTACTGGCTGGACGACTGTGACGCAACAGTTTCTGCCAGCGCACAGAACGAACTTAGAAAGATTCCCAACTAAACTTTGTAAACATTGCTAGCTTCAGACATCCAGTTTTGAAAAGACAAGGCATTCAGTTCTGAAAAAGTTCCTCTGGGAGCACTGTGATTCACTGATTTTGGGTACTACTGTAACTCAGTCAATACTACGGTCATACAAACTCCGCCCCCAGCAACAGAAGAGAACTCAATTCGCAAGCACAAAGGCTAGCACAAATAAACACACAAAGGTCAGAAAGATTCTTTCCAGTTGTCCGTGACGCCACCTTAATATCTTGAGCGGAAATTCCAAGCGCCGGGGAACTCGTCCATTCGTCTCAATCTAAACGGCACCCAATACGTAACGTATAGGCATTTCGGATAATCCTCTCCGCCCATCAGCGAAACCCCAAACCTAACTGTCACTGAAATGCAAAATTGCACCGTGAATGTGCTTTGGATCGGCGCAATAGCTGGTCAACTCTCTGATTACAGCTGACCGAACCTTCTCCCAAGATTTAGCTACTGGGGGTGCAAGCGTGCTGCTGAAGTAAAACGGGAGCACACTTAATTCTGCGTGGACTGGCGTGGTGACGACACCATAGTGAGTTTATTTAAAGAATCGCTATAAAACTCGAAAAACAGATAAAAGATCAGAAACCAAGGCCACGGCAGCGATACGTTCTCTTCTATTAAACCACTTTGACAGACTAACTTTTTCTATTGATAAGATCACAAAAAGAAAAGAAAGGGCAAACAAATCGGAGTTGTCATTTGAAAATGGTAAACGTAGAGTCCTTATGACCACTGAAGCTGTTAGGCAATGTTTATCTAGTGATTGTTATTGGCCGCATGTGAGACATTATCGAGATATTTCTGGAAAATATGGTAAAAGCCGATTTCAGCCTAATTTCATTATCTGGACTGAAAGCTGCATCCGCACGAGAGAAACCCACGCTTTCAATGATTCACGTTACCAAGAGGGTTACTAAAAAGCCAGTGACGCAAATGATGTGATAAGCCTCCACAGAAGATTTTCGTTTTACTCTCTAACACAACGTCTTTTGAACGTCGGAGAAACACTATCCAACATTGGACCGAACGATTTTTTAATGGAAAAAAAAGAAAAGGAAAGTTGGAAACGAAGAGTTTTGAATATGAAAAAGAAGCAAAATTGAAACCCACGAACTGTTGCAGATGCCGAGCGCATACAAATCCATCACCACCGTTGTTACCAGGGCCACACAACACAAGTGTTTTCCCTTGAAAAACAAACATAGACCGGATAAAAAAGGAGGGTACCGCTTTTTAAAGAGATTCATAGATTTGGTAACTGGTCAACGAATCCTGTATGTCTGTCCCAACGAAATTCCTTCAAACTAACTCGTGATAACAAAAAGACAATGAATCAGCCTTCAAATTCATTTTTTCGGCCCTACAGGAAGATAGTCTTGCGCGACAAGACTTCGAATAACATGGCGGCATGCTACATCCAGAAAAGTGCGATTCCTGGCACTTCATAACATCGTGGTTTCAGTTTTGATAGTACAACGAAACCGGTAAAATCGCCAAATAAATCGCCTCACTTCTACAACCATTAAAGCTCTTTCAATTTTCAAGATCGTTTCAGCCACATTCCCAAATTAATCTAATCTTGAGCTGATTCATGCCAATATTAAAATACATACCAGAATGAGGAATTAGTCGGGGTATGTGTCGCTAGCTATCAACTAGAAACATTATAATAGTTTCGAGACAGAAACAGCACAGCAAGTGACAGGTTAATTGATGTAAGGGGAGGAATTCTCTCTGACAACTCGTTCCCTCATGGCGACCAGTTTGTTCCCATATGTACTATGAACTCAGCATGTTCGCAGAAAAAACCACTCTACTGAATTTTTCTGACTGCACCGTTGATGACGTCAGCTTGGCTAAGCTGTAGTTAGTATTCAGGGCAGCACGCAAACCTATGTATTACACAACACAAAAAAAACTACCAACAAATCAATGCTAATTCCCATAATTGTGTGCTTCTCCAGTTATTCATGAATTACACTTGAACATTGCGTACGGTACCTACCTTTTGAATACTGAGCATGAACAGCTTTAGCACATGCTAATCCGGCTAGTTCCATCAATTGTTCGACTTTGAAGCCATACTTCGAAAAGAGTTCCTCGTCGATTTTCGAGGCTTCGTTTTGCCTGGAACAAGCAACAGCTTCATTAAGTCTTCGGAGGTTGTGGGATTCATGCTCAGAGAGAAAAATGCTTCTGACCAACGTCACATTCATCGTTCAACTAATGCATGATGACAGAGTTATACGTCACCGACCTTCGCGCTATGATCGCTTGACAATCATCGTTTTCGCTCTAATAGGATTAAAGTTAGTAATCCGTTCAGATCAGATCGCATATGAGAGCGATTTCAAGCAAAAGTAACGCTCGGATCGTTGAAAATTCAAAAGCTCCTAGCTTGCAGAAAAAGATCAAAATCATAGCTTAAATTCCAGATAGTAAAGGTGGGGATGTATGAGGTGATGCGCTGGCTATAGAGGCTGCATCATACCTACACAGACAAGAAGACCAAAATCCGCTCTTGTCAAGCAAACCGTTCAATTCACGGCATCGAGTAACTGTCAATAGACGTTTCTACACAAACGAAGGATCTCAGTAAATAGCACTGCCCATTCCTTTGCATCCCAGCCCACCTTCGCCCTCTTCCAAACCGCGAGGTAAAGGGCAGTCGTGCAATGTGCGCTGGCTATAGAGGCTGCATCACACCTACACAGTCAAGAAGACCAAAATCCGCTCTTGTCGAGCAAACCGTTCAATCCACGGTATCGAGTAACTGTCAATAGACTGTTCTACACAAACGAAAGATCTCAGTAAATAGCATTACTCCATCCCTTTGCATCCCAGCCCACCTTCGCCCTCTTCCAAACCGCGAGGTAAAGGGCAGTCGTGCAATGTACTCCATCCCTTTACCTTCGCCCTCTTTTAAACCGCGAGGTAAAGGGCAGTCGTGCAATGAGGAGCAGCACAAGCGGTTAACAAATTTTATAGCGGTGATTGCCTAATTAAGAAGCAATACCTCAATTTCGCTATGATTCATGAGCTGTTCACTTCAACATACGATACTTCAAATAACTTTTTCAACTGACAATTGATCTTTCGAAGCAGGCATCGCTATTCGCACTGAGAACTCCATGTGCTACTACAATGAACGCGTGGGAATTCAAAATCGCATAAATTTCTTGCTATATTCGATTTGCTGCTGACTGTCACGAAACAATTCTGTAGGTTGAACATGCCTACAGTTTTCTATCGTTCTGAATGGAACAACGCAGAAAAAATAATAAAGTTAAAGTGATATTTTTTACCATATCCGTCAAGCATCCTTGTAACATTCTGACGACTAAACTTTTCCTTCTTCGACATGAAAACTCTAAACACCCACACCTTTTCTGAGTTCATCCACACGCTGAAACTGACACTATTTTAAACTAGACTGCATAAGATGTTGACCAGGTAGGCGGAGGACATGTGCGAACTGCACGTACGCGTCAAACGGGGAACAAACAGCAACTCTGGGACAGCAGTCGAGTTACAGCACGGTGTCAAAACGAGGTTACTGGATCAAAACCGGCACATTGAAAGCTCAAATGAGCCTGTTTCCATCAATTCCAGGATTGACAGACTTCTGCGAGGCAGTCCCGTAAACTGGTAGTCAAAAGCGCATTACAAAGGAAAAAGAACTGTTAGCAACGAAAAGAAGTGCGAACTAATGGCAATGGCACCACGGTTCACCAATTGCCACAGCCGCACAACGTACACTTTCTTGAAAATGCTCCTGCTTACACTCAACAAGGTTTATAGATATTACAACGGCTCATTTCTACAATGGAACGAAAGTGAGCAGTTTCTAGGAAAGGTATTTCGGGAGCCATATTGGTACCTTGGGGTATGTCTCACGATGAGCAACATTATGAGTAATTGTCCAGCACTAGTAAATCCAACAACATAGCAGCTACTCAACACAAAATATTGAAATGGTCATCAACTTTAGCGACTAAAGGAGAGTATCTGAACCTAACCACTCGAATGTCACCTTTCCAGAGCGAGAGGTGGAACTGTGACCAGACTGACTCCCCTACTCATACTAGGAGAACTCAGATCCCGACTGGCAAACGGCTAGCACGACCAAAAAACGGAAAATCTGGAACAATGATGCTTCCAATGGCCGGGCTATCTATTTTCACACTATTTCACATCCAGAATTATTTGACAAGGAATCGCAGAAAAGTAGGAACTGCGATAATTGTATCTCATAATAGCGTGAACTGCAAATCAATCGCCCTAAATCAATACGAAAGCCATCAATATTCTCGATACTACCCCTTGCTGTGCTATAGAGTTACTAAAAGTTCATTTCGGCTACACTTCTACCTTCCCATCTTCGTCAAATGCTTGGAAATATCATAAGAATAAAGACACCAAACAAAAATGAATTTCTCTGATCTCAAAAACAAATCATATAAAGGACACAAGTCTCATACTTATGACTTCCTCTGCATATTTACATAACCAATAGATTCAAAACGTTGTTGATAAACAAACCATGATCTTTTCACTTACATGAAGTTGTCCGTACATTTCCGATCTGGTCGAAGGTGCGAGCATAATCAAATATATGCATAAGGATTTTTCTCTACTTTCATCCAGTTTCTTTCCTAGGAATATAAAACAATGGCTCTAATCAACAATGATGCCTGATGGCAAAGAATCTTCATTTCTTCATGAATGAAGATGTTTTTGCTTGCTAGGAAAAACACGGGGATCTCTTAGCCCTATTGTAATCGCAAGCCTATCCAATTGAGCACCAGCAAACTGCCACTAATGGGAACTAGTTAAATTTTATAAATGTTCTCATATTATGGGTACAGAAAGTACAAGATGATAGCAAAACAGATAACCTCACCTAAGGTATGTCAAGTCCTTCCTGGAAATCAGCGGTACCGACGTGGTCATGACTGATCTCAGTGAAAAACGATGTAGTAGGGAACGTTGCAATATCGCCAGCGTCGGGAGTATGTACATAAACAGAATGCACAAAGTGCACCTGCTAATCAGCTCACTGGTTCAACTTTTGGAAAACGTGCTCCAGAGTCAAAAAATTTGAACTTTCCTCGCAGTGATGTGCAGGTTCTGCGAAAGTGGCGCGAGTTTGAGCATTCGAATTGGGTTGATGGTGTCTGGTCGAGGAGAGCGCGCAGTGATGGCACTCTCTTGCGTGCACTCTCTTTCTCTGGCGCTGAGCGCTACTCTCTGCTGATCGCGTGCTCTCTCGCCCGTCATGCAAGGCCCCCCCGCGTATCGAGCCCGTCGTCGCTGGCGGCCGCATCGCCGCCACCGCTGATGGCTAGGAGTGACTGTCGTCGTCGTTGTTGTCGTCGTGGAATTCTGAGGCAGTACACTCTTTCCCAAAAGTATTGGACGGCCATTCAGACCAGCACATCCCCTCGTTCACCCACGCATTTTCTCCCGCTCCGCAAGCGTTTCGTAACTGTATGATTTACTAATTTGTTTACTGCACCCTAGACGTATTGGAAATGGTTTTGGAAACAACCCAGTATGATAGGATTGTGTCACAAGTACTATTTGTTCTTGATTTCTCCATATTTTTTTGAGGAATCATTCGTTTATTGATTACTATCGATCTTCGAACAGCAGCCAGGAACTTGACGCCGATTCTCGTTCGTTGTTCCTTTCCGTGGTATTGATTACCTCATTCAATTACTGAACAAGTATAATCGCCTCTAACTACTATGTGTTGTGAACGCTCAAACTTGCTCACAAACTGGAAACTAGAAAATAAGTGTTGTTACGTCATCGTCTCGTTCTTCGAAAATTTTCAAATGTTCTCTCACTTCCTCTGCAATAAGCAATAGCGTAAGATATGCTCGTACTGTGCCATATTTTTAGCACATTCAATGTGGATGATGTTCTCGCCGTCTGGAAATTCTTAGTTATAGGGATATAAATAGGTTTGGACTTGAGCGACGCCGCTTTCGTCATAATTATAAGAACTTCTTTTTCACTGTTCTTGTTCTCTATCATGAAAAGTCACTAATTACTAGAATCCTCAAGACGTAACCGTCGTTTCGACGAGTGAACCAATGACCAGTGACGTCATCGACTTTTTTCATTTCACTCCCCAGGTTTTAATGCTAGCCATTAAAATTGGAACAAATGCGAAGCACATGTTCGCCTCAACTCTAAGATGTCCTCGTATTTTATACAAGAAGATAGAACAAGTAATTTTATCGATTTTTCCGATGACGCTGTTCTGCTCTGCAGCTCACGAGAAAATTGGCATAAGTCGATGCTTTGTCTAGCCCATGAATGAAGGCCGAACAACATTATGAGACGTGATCTCGTCAAGGGGAAGAGATTGGTGGGGAATTTCGAAGAAGACTCACACCTCTCGGCATAACATCCCTGGCCACTCCTTTAGTGGAATCCTGCACATTTCTTTTGTTATACTAATTATTCAGAGCCAAAATCGAAAAAAAAAGTTGTTCCACTCCCATTGATTAGGCGTTCATCATTTGTTGCGTGCTACGTCGTCTATTGCTCGTGATCAGTGATACCGAGTGTGAATAAGGAGATTATTAGAATAGTCAGGTGATCACTACCTCTCACTTTTAATCAAAAATTTGAAAGACGGAGGGTCCACTTTCTTCCCGATTATTTTGTGATTCGAGTATTCAATTTGAGAAGCTGTCATTTGCCCCGTTACTCTCCAGTATTCTCCTCCCTCTTCTTACTCCCCGTTACTCCCCGTTACTCGGGTATTCTTCGACAATTCCGGTTACTTCAACTTCAGTTAGTCTTCAAAAGCATCGAAAGGTGCAAATGTTGCAGTGCTGGGTGGGCTGTGAAGTTATGAAGAAACTGTTGTTTTAACGGTTCATCGATGTAGTTGTTCTATGTAGATGGTATCAGTTCTGGTCATGTAGACGAAGCGAAACTAATCAGTCTTTTTTCTCATAGTTGTTCTCGGGCTAGGTCTCTGTGAACAGAGAGGAGCGATAAGAGGGACTGCATCCTCATTTCCGCCCTCCCACACTGTTTGCTTACAGTTACTCGAGTTGTGGAAACAGACTTCTTGTAGAAATTTCCATTATTCAAACAAATAATTATATTTGTTTTGTACTTTTCCCCCTTGAATATTACTAGTCTTCACTTCAAAAATGTAATGTTTATTGAATTTTTTTGGCATTCTAACATATGGTTAGCTTTTAACAATCATCGTTGATCACATTCTATTATCTAATGTCGTCTCGCATGCTATTGTAAAGCGACGTTTGTTTTTTCGAGATTTGCAACAATCCTTTTCATTGATCGGAGCTTGTTAGGCTGTCTCCATTATCTTAATACGTAGTTGCGATCGTTTTTTCATGTGCAATGCCCAAATCGATACCCATTGGAAATACAGGCATTCCAAATTCGGTTTGTATTGGTGTAAATTTACCCGTCGAACTGTTTTTTCGCCTAACCGATTATAACCGAGCGTCGCTTTTTCTTTTAGGCTTTTAGGATCGGTGTTTACCTCTTGAAAATCATTTTACGGATCGTATGAGCGAGTTGTAAAGGCGAGGCCAGTCTTTTTATCTCTATCTCCGATTTTTTTCTCGTTTCGCGGATTCCTTTTGTGTAACTCCTTCTAGGTAGCTCCTAACTCAGCGAAGAATATGTTTTTATTGTTGTTGTCGAAATGTTGCTGCTTAGCTCCATTGATAACCTCACACGTTTTCCGATGTATCCAGGAATTGCCGCGATTTCACGACACCATCAGATCCATTATTTAGTTTCTGAGACCTTTGAAGAATTGCGTCAAGAAAGACGAAGTATTGTTCTTCACAAAGAAGTTGCGTGGAAACACTTGATGGTCATTAAGTTATTGGCTATTTTTGTCCGAAATTGGAAAAAAAGCCAATGGGAAGTATACGTCATTCCTCAGAATCTTATCATCACATTTAGCTCAATAAACATTCTAGCGCGTCAAATTAGCTATTTTCTTTCGGAAGCCGGAAAAACGATAGATGAAAATTACAATTAAATCCGTGGATCTTTGTCGACAAATCACAGTGTAATTGACGCAGTCGGTAACCTTCTAAAAGTTGCTGATAATTTTCTGAAACCGCTCTTTCGTGATTGGTGATAAGCGCGCGCCGTTCCGTTCTGTGTACTCCGATGTGTGTCTGCTCGCCATCTTGATATTGATTATGTTGCAATTAGAATTCTTCTTCATTACAGAATGTTATGAAGGTATCGACCTCATAGCACTTCGTTTCGCGATTCATTCTTTGCTCAAACAGTTTTTGACTTTCGCATATGTGTTACCGTTCTCCGCTTATCAATTAGCTTGTGACATCCCATATGAATCGATAGACCCGCATATCTCCCTGGTAGTCACGTTTATCATTATCTGAATTTGGATTTATTGTTGCTTATCGAAAGGTTTCCTCTGATTAATCATTGTATGATTCATTTCATATATTTCTAGTGAATACGACAGTGGTGCGGTGGCTGTAGGTGATCAGCCAATCTGCCCTCTCCTTCCAATATAGCTTTTTCCATCGAGGCTAGACTTTTCGATATCGGCTGGGATCGGATCACATTCTGGGCTTGTTGTGGTGAGTACAATGATCTATACGTGGTCGCTACTTTTTTGCTTGTGCAGGCTTACACTCGTACCTGCTCCACACAGTTTTGAGAGGATTCTTCGGGATAAAAAACAAATTTTTGAGTAATCCCGCTTATCAGTTCCTGTATGAATTCTCTAGGGAACTACCGTAACATAAATTTTTTGTGAGGCATAGATATATGAAACGAAACACCGTTGTATTTTTTTCGCATAAGCTCCATTCAGCCCGTTGACAATGTATTTCCGGCTTGTAATGTGGAATGTCTGAGTTCCAGAGTTTTAATTCCACTGTTTGCAGGGTGCCATGAATAAACAGTTATTGTCCTGCTCTTTGAAGGGCGGTCGGCAGACAACTACTGTAGTGGCGTCAGTTGCCGCAGATGGTGTTGATCAGCAGGTAGTTTTATTGTGGTTCCTTACACGACCTCGACTGTTGGTGTGATTGAGTATGGTTTGGTAATCGATCGTGGTAACTGGTCGCCTGTTGGACGCCGACAGCACTTTGTCTGGATCGGGACATTTCATATCTGATTTCCGGATTCAGATTTGGAACCCCGAAAAACACCTAATTGATTCACGATGTTTGAAACCATTGTATGCTAGTATTTCCTTAGCCGTAAAGTTGAAAACGATGAAAAATCGAATTTCGAAAGATTCGTAAATGAGTTTAGATGGTCTTGTATGGTAGTCAATTCGAGCTAACCATAAGTTAGGGAAATTGCAAGAACTTCGTCAAAAATTTTTTTTGTTCATTGGTTAACACCATTTGTGTGAATAGCCTTCGCATCATTAATCCACTATTTTTCTTCATTGTAAAAGCTAGGCGGGTGGGAATAGCTCACGTTGCTATAAAAAAGTGCTACATAGTCATTCTATCAAAACACTAATTACCATGATGTATTTGTAAACTTAGTACTATCTTGAATTTCAAGAATGCTACCGATCTGCTGGTTATTCACTTTAATCTTGTAGAGGGATGGGTTTGACAACGTTGGGATGAGATGTGACACCTCATCAGATTTATATTGCCCTTTGTTCGAAACATAGTTTCTAGGTTATTGAAATTCAAGATAGTACTAAGTTTCCAAATACATCATGGTAATTAGTGTTTTGATAGAATGACTATGTAGCACTTTTTTATAGCAACGTGAGCTATTCCCACCCACCTAACTTATTTATTCAATCTTGTTATGTTAACTTTATATACCGGTTTAGTAAAGTGAGTGCTTGATGAACATGGTTTAGGTCGAAGTATCGTATTGTGATCAGAAAGTGGTTGGAAATGGCTCTTTCGGTGTCGTATTTTTGGCAAAATTGCAAGAGAACAATGAACCGGTCGCAATCAAGAAAGTGCTTCAAGATAAACGATTTAAAAACCGAGAGCTTCAAATCATGCGAAAGCTCTCTCATCCAAATATAGTCAAACTCAAGTAAGTGGATTGTGGTTTTTTCTCTGAAGCTTGTTGATTGTTTCTTTCTTACGTTTAGGGAAGAGAAATCACTATCGTTCCTTTTTTACGTTTCACCAAAGAAGCGATGAGTGGCTAATTGCTCGTTAGTCCGTATTACGGATGATTAGTCTTCATAAAAAGTTTCATCATTAATCCTCGATCTAGTTGTTTTGTCGAATAATTGCAACCGCTGTTCTTTTGGAATACCTTATTAAGACGTGAACTGGGGTAATGTTTTGAATTGAGTTGAGGCTTACGAAATGGAATTCTGGAGCTCTAGCGATTTCTCCTTTTTTCAACGGCGCATCTTTAAACGAAAAAATGCGAATACATATTTCCGACAACTTGTCTTTGTATTACATAGCTCGTTACTTGCAACAATTAATTATTAATTTATAACTTATTACATTGTGCATAGGTTTCTTTTTTCGATTTTTGAACTTTGTTGGGTGTCTTTTTTCAAATTTTGTACTGTACGTTACGTACGTTACAGATATTTCTTCTATTCTGGTGGTGAGAAGAAAGACGAACTGTATCTCAATTTGATATTGGAGTATGTTCCTGAGACTGTATACAGGTAATGATGGGAGTAGTATTATTGTGTCAACTTTTTGAGTAAGAACTGTGTTTATTGATTCCATGGTGTTCAGGGTGGCTCGCCACTACTCGAAGCAAAGGCAGTCTATTCCTTTAATATATGTGAAGCTATATATGTATCAGGTCAGTTGCAGATCCCCATTAAGAAAATTGGCTTATTCAAATTTAGCTGAAAAACCTCAGCTTCTTATCAAGCGACCTAATCCTCAATGTTCCGGTGTTTCTTATGATTTTGAAGTTTTTTTTTNTTTTTTTTTCTTCAAATGACATAAGCACCTTGTTGTCACCGCATTCTTTGTACTATCCTTCTGTTCCCTACTTTTTTAACATCAATTTGAAGTGCTCAGTCAAAACATCATGTGCTCCATTGAAGGCACTCCTACAAACTATCTTCAAAACAGGATTCGAAGCTCCTTCAGCTCCCTTAGGTTGAACTTGCGAATTCTCATGATGAAGTTGCCCTCTCTAGCATCGAACTCAGTAGATGATAGATACTTCTTGCTATTTCGAAACCGTGATATATTTGGTGTGGATCTTTCAAGTGTCGGGAGGGATGCGAGGATGTCAGAATTGGTAGTAACATTCCCGCACACTGATTTATGTAAATGCACATTTTGTGAGTGAAGGATTTGTTGTGAAATACGGAGTTAGTATGGTAACATTGGTGCTAAGAGCTGTTGGCAGTGCACCTGTGTTTTCGATTAATCAAAGGCTCACGTTTGTGCGTGAGACTCGGGCTGACGATAGGTCATCAACCTATTGTACTCCAAGAAACGTTGAATGCTGGGCTAAAGGAAACCCTTCCGTTCGGGATGCTGACCAAGCGGTTAACTGGATTACTCTCGGAATCCTAAGTGCAACATGGCTTCAGAGCCCTCTTCATTTATTTTTATAGAGCTTGTTGGTTTCTATACGCATGAGGCTAAAGAGGAGCTATTCATGAGTCTGAATCAAAGCATGCCTTAAATATCATTATTAACATCGGTTCGCTGAAGAAAGTTCTGCTCCAAATTTTAGGATTATTTAGTTTGAGTTCAAGAATTTACAACGTTCCAAGTGACTGCATGCCTTCACTAGGTGTTTAGGGAGATTGTTGTGCAAGATTACGGCGTAAAAAATTTTATTCGGAGTCGAAAATTATTTTCTGGTTTTACCTTCTGAAGATTCTGCAGAAGTTTTAGCTTGCTGAGCTAGATGTGATCACTTCGCGCCCAAATGTGCTATTGTCGTATTGAACTGAAAAAAAATGGAAAAAGGTTATCTAAAAAAAAATCCGTACTCCATTCACTAAAGAATTTGCTCATGAATATACATTTTGTTTCAGCTATTTCGTGCTCTAGCCTACATTCACGGAATCGGAATTTGTCATCGCGATATTAAACCACAAAACCTACTCATTGATCCTGAATCGGGAATTCTAAAATTGTGTGATTTCGGCTCAGCGAAGTACCTAGTCAAGGTTTGTATACGAGCTAATGGTAGTGTTTCTCTTCTGATGACACTGATTTTCAGTTAATTTCATGTCCATCGCATTTTCCGACTTCAAGTCCTTCCTATATTATAGCGATCGCTACAATTCAAAAGCATTTCTCGTTATTAATAAGGGGGACTGATTTTGTGCCGTAGTAGTGGTTGTGACTTTGTAGCAGGAGGCTGAGAGAGCAAGGTCTCTTCTGGGTAGAAGAAGGGGACAACAATAGCCCGACATTTCTGAGATTATTTTGGGGTTTCACCTTCTCATAATAGTGTAATTTATTTGAACAAGTTTGTGCGTGAAGTTGGAGGTCACAGTTGTGATGATCTCCGGATTTTTTTGAACGCGCGCTGCTTTCGGGCACCTCAAATGGTCGATGAAGGGCTCTTGTTCGTTTGAATGAGAACTCAAGCGAACCATTCTTTCAGTTATCCTAATATAATAGTACTTCTTAAGGGCATTGGATTGCAGTCGTAGCTAGTGTAAGTATTTTCATTCGCAACATTTTGCTTCATTAGCTTCACCTATTAATGTTGGGAAGGACCTATGCATTACTTGCAAAGCGTAGCCAGCATAGTGAAGGAGAAACTGTCTCTTATGCAGCAGTGTAGTGTTAGTTTCTCTTATACGGTTTTCGTTACCTTTTTATTAACTGAGTAGGTATAAAAAGTTTGTTCGGGTTCGCTTAGATCAATTTTGAAATGTAACTAAAGTTAACTCAAATCAAAAGAATCATTTTCTTGATCGCTTCACTGTTTACCCCTTCGGTTTGATGTTTTCTTCCGCAGCTTTGTCGTTGTTGGTTCCCCATACATTCACTGTGGTCGCTGGTTATATGCATTCATTTTTCTAATTTGTTTAAGGGGGAGCCTAATGTGTCCTACATCTGCTCTCGGTATTATCGTGCTCCGGAACTCATATTTGGTGCTACCAACTATACAAATTCGATCGACGTATGGTCAGCTGGAACAGTGATGGCCGAGCTTTTGCTTGGTCAGCCGATCTTCCCTGGTGATTCGGGTGTTGATCAACTTGTAGAAATCATAAAGGTAAACACAGTGCATTTAATTTTCGCTATTGATACAAAATCATGGCATTCTTCTAGGTACTCGGTACACCGACAAAGGAGCAAATTCAAAGTATGAACCCTAACTATAAAGAGTTCAAGTTCCCGCAAATCAAAGCTCATCCATGGGCAAAGGTTGGTTACGATTAACGAATTGGTGTGCCAAAGGAAGACATTGTTTGAATTAGAGAGTTTTTGTTAAGAAAAAAGGGAAGTAGTGGAAAGGTAGTGTAAGGCTGCAATATAGGATACCCTTTTGTTATGGGTTTTGAAGTATGAGGTCTGTCCTAGTCCTGGTGTAACTGGCCGCGAAGCCGGATACAACCGGAACATTTTAGTGAGCTAGCACGTTCTGGGCTGGTCGTTTGATGACTAATGGACCCATTTTACTAATTTTTTTCTTGTTTGTTTCATTTAATTGTTCATTGGCATTGCGGTTCATGTCGCTGAAATTCCTACAATATAACTTTTTTCTTTCGTTCCCCTCTCTTTGTCTTTTAGTGGCCAACAGCTCGTATTGTTCTTAGTTAATTTGTGTTATTTTTATTTCCTTCAAAACTTAACAAACTTTGTTTTCAAAACTCCTAGTCTTCGTAAAACAGTTGCACCTTTGTTTGGATAGTTTATTCGAGTCAAGCTCCCTGTTTTTGTTAAAGATAGAAAGGAAACAAAAATAAATAGGCAAATGAAATTTTCTTTTTTCTTTTTCATAAGAAGGCTGATAGCGCTTAATCGCTGGGTAAGGGTAGTGTGGAAGCGGACGTAAAAATGCAGTGAAATGGGAACAGTGGTTGTGACTTGTACTTTTGACTTTAATTTGTCACATTTGCTAAGCTCTGAAGGCTCTTCTCTTCGCAAAAAGAACAAGTACGGTAACTGTATACGGCTTCTACGAGCTACTCTTTCATTTGCTCCTCAGAACTTGCTAAACTCATTGGGCTCGAATTCATAAGTACAGGCGGTCTTATCTGACAGTTAGGAAAGTGGACTGTAATAAGAGCTTTGTCACGTGTAACGGCCATCAGCAGCAAGCGATCATAACAGTATGTTAGGAATGAAAGGACAAAATTCATGCTAGAGGTTTTTGTTCAAATTTAAAAAATTAATCTATCCATATTTTTTAGGTGTTTCGTGCTAGTACGCCCCAAGAAGCTATCGATCTAATATCAACTATAATCGAATACACGCCAAGTGCTAGGCCGACACCTCAACAAGTATGTGTTCCTTCTTTTTATGCTTTTAAAATCTAAGAGAAATTAGCACTCTTTGATTTTTCAAGCAATTAGCAATGTTAGTTCGATTGAACCTAAGAAATAACATGACATTTTCTTCTTCAAAAGTGCAGAATTGCCAAGGGAGTGTTCGGATTTTGAGAGTTCATTAGGGAAAGTATTCCAACTTATATTTCACGATGTTTATGAGCATAATGGTACGCCTTGTCAAATTTTTGAATGAGAGCCTCATTTATGCTTTCTCTTCCAGGCATGTTTACATGCATTCTTCGATGAGCTACGAATGCCGGAAACGAAGCTACCATCCGGTCGGCCTCTACCTCCTTTAGAAATGGATAGCGGCGATGATAATCGTGCAGGCCATGGACATGATGGATCATCTGAAAGCTGAAACGCCCTCAGCTTTATGTCTGTCATTACAATCTCTCCATATGTCCTCCGTCTCCTCAAGCAGAGCTACACGTGTGCCCTGTGATGCGCCGCGCTCTGGTCTAGCGCTAACTAAACGCACAGTTCTATTTCTTTTTTTCGTCCTCGGCGTTTTGAACATTTTTTTCTCATTGATGATTGAATTGTGTTTCTTTTTGCTCCGTCTTAACAGAGAGTAAGTGACACGAGATCATGTTAGACTATAGTCGCCTCGTGTCGCTTGAATTTTGTGACCCCTCATCATCGTTTTCTGTCATTTCCCGATGAATTTCGTTTGTGTGTGGCCGATCGCAGTCCCCCATGTCATTGTTAGTGATGTGCTAAGCGATCTGTGCATCATCCTCTTGTACATTTACATTTTACTTCTATTTTTTCTCTTATTTTCTATTTGTTTTTAGCCTCGTTTCTCCCTTCTCCCTTTCATAAACGCACACACATCTGACGTCTACTCGTTCGCGATTCTTCGTTCATCGTGAATTACACAGTCTAACCGTTGTATTTGTGCTATACAGAGCAAAGAGCAGCCACCGCAGGCATTGAAATGCACGTCTAATTTTCAATCGAATCTTGTGGCCCATCCTTGAGAGATCGCGTTAGTGTATATAAGTACTGATGGTATTTTGGATGAGTATCGCACAGCAGAACCATACCCACGCACAAACTTGTCACCCTTACCAATAGACCATACTCTTTTAATTTATCGCAAATATTGATTGTGGAATTTTGTCTACATTATCGCATCGTTATGATTTTATCGCGGTGAAACGCTCTGTCTGCAACGATTCCCTCATCGCCCCTCTTTACCCTCTAGAATTCATCACCCAATCATTTTGATAGCTCGTCGTTTCATACTAGGGTCGACAGTGATGAGAGCTGCTTTTCCAGCTTCCAAAGACTGTCCTTGAATTTATAACTATGTAGAGCCATCTAGTAGAGATTGTCTCCATCTTTTTGTCGTCCCTCTCTTCTGTCTCCCCCTTCCTCTATGTCTCCTTTTCTTTGATTGTTGTTCTGAAACGGTCATTGAGTGAGGCTATGTCGTGTATGATTGGCTCATAAACATTAAATACGTTAACAGGAAAAGTGTTGGTTCGAGTATACTATGTCGGCTTCATATAATTGCAAGGTATATGAGATTTTCATGATTAAAAATTGTTGAATTCTGTATCGTGATGTGTACAGAGGCGAAGAGAAAGAACGCAGGATTCTTTTTTTCATTTTAATTCTGATCATGTTTTATAAACTTACAACATGGCAAAAAAAAAGTAGGGCTCTATGGAGGTTTCGATAGTCGAGTTCGAGTTGCAGCTTCCATTCCCTCGAGTTGTTCCCCCAGCTCCAGGGCGTCCTGAGTTCCCCAGTTACGGAATCTGAACTATGCGGTTGAGTTAGCTCAAGGAGTTCATCATCGTCCGCACTTTCTACTGAAAGCCATTAAGAAAGGGAGAGCAAGTGGGATCTTGTGTCAGAGATTTAGAGCGCGGTGATTGGAAATTAAAGGTCCGGGATCGAGGCAGAAGTTCTGCACCTAACTCGCCATTCTTGTAAACTGATTGCGATTAGCTTACCGATGTTGCTATTGAGACGCGTACAATTGGATCACTTCACTTTTTTCCTCTAACGGAAGGTATTCTGTATCGCTGAAGCGATTAGAAATGGCTGAATAGTTGACCTTGTCTCAGTGATCGCTGTTACAGGCTTTAGTGATGGAAGTGCATTTTCCAATAGTGTGGAAGTGAAATTTGTTTTAATACCGGAAGTTTTTGTTTCAGAATGTTCATGAATAGAAAAAGACCGTGCGTCATATGTGGGGATTCACGTGAAGAGCAAGGAATGAGACATGCGTAACTGTAACGAAAATACTGAATGCTATCTTGGTCGCATGCTCTCGGCATATGACAGCTTGAAGAAAAATGTCCATGCGAAAACTATTTACGACAGCTGCCATGGAAGTAGAAGATTCTCATGTGATGTTCATTATGTTCTTTTGGTAAGTTATGATTGATCTTCAGCAATTAGAAATTGGAATTGTTTTGCTAGTATTTACAAGTCTCTCTCGGGTTCAATAAGGTTTCCGTATTTTTTCTTCTTTCTCTTTTTTCTTTTCTTTTCTTTTTCTTTTTCCTTATTTCTTATCCTTTCTATCATCGTTTCATCGTTTATCACTTCCATATATCCATCTTGGTCGGTGATTATGATCGAATATTAGAAGTGTGATGCTCGGAGAGCCAAATACATAGCGAAAGTGTTAGTGCTTCTTTCAAGGTCTCATGCCTTCTTGAAGTAGGGATCAACGGGATATTCCTTGATGTATAACGCTGAACACATTTTCAACATTTGTTATATCACTGTTGCAGTCAAAATATGTAGCCGCCGAGATAAAATTAGTTTGCTGGAAAGCAAATCCAGCATTTTGTTGATTGGCTTTTGGAAACCCTGCGTATGTACGAAATACCGCCTCATAGAGTTGAATTTGAATTTGTATCGCTATGAAGCTATGCTTCGCCATGGCACATCCCCTCAGATAGATTCAGTAAAGATCGGTTAACAGATCAACGGCATTCGTAAGTTCCAAACTTCTGAGAGTAAAGGGCATGAGACCGTATATGGTTTACCACCGTTTACCACCGTCGAGTTCGCCATAAAGGTGGATTTTTCATTTTCCTACTTTCTACCCCATTTTCATTTTTAAGTAGATGCAATATAATGATTCGCTTTTAGATCAGTGCTTGCTATAGAAAGGGATCTTCCTCAGTTTTCAAGTGCCTTTTCCAAAGGTATCTTGGTACCAGCTGAAATCTATTTACAGCCTCTAGCCCAGTGAAAATCGCGTTGGTCAGTTGCTGTTTACGAGTATGAGCTTCCTTGCCAACCAAGTTCAAAAAATCGCAGGTTGCTTTAGGGTAACTACTTTATGTTGTACAAGTTCGACGATTCCTCTGAGCCTGAACAACAATTAGGACGAGTGTAGTCACAAGCTCACGAAGTCCAGCAATGGTCGCCTCAATCGCAGGGTCTATGGATGAAATGGAGGTGGATGCGGCCAGCCATATAGAGTGCTTTTGCAACAGTACAACCCAGAGCGTTCGTTCTGAAAGGCAACCCCAGCTAAGTGCAGTCAATCCAACCGAAAGCTTCAATAGCTATGACGACTTACATATGGGCCCAATGGACGAGGCAGTGTAACTTCGTGTCTTGCAGTAGGAACGAAATTGTCGCGTCGCGGCGAGAGACACCGCGCGCGATGGAATATAGCAGAATGCAGCAGCCTGCAAGAAAACAGGAACAAAAGAACTAACGGTAGAATTATGTCAAAAGTAATAATCACATAGCGATTGAGCTGTATGAAGAAAGCTAGAACTGTGGGTAAATGGTTTGGCAAATGGTCCGCGACAGCCGCGTGCGGCGGATCGATTACATAAAACTGTCCTACAGCCCGTCTCCCACGCGTTGAATCTACCGAAGACTGCTTTCCGGCTCACGCCTTTGAACAACTTACAGGTGAAAGAGATCGAAGGACAAGCCTATTTACCGGTGGCCTCTTCGAACACCGTGATGAAAGAGCCAAATTCAGAGGAGCATGATATGTGGATCTTCCTGTGACCAGACGTAGTAAGCTCATGTCGATTATCATTCTGGAAAGGACTATTTCCATATTCTGATTTTTCTAGATCATTTAATTCACAAGCATCAAGTTCTGAATACTACGGTTAATGGAACAGAAACTGCCACCCTTCTGGCTGAACGAGGGGATAATGTGACAGATCAAATCACGTAACTTCATTCTGGTGGTTTATTGCTTACAGGGATCTTTATTTTAAGCTATATATATATATATATATATATATATATATGTATATAGGCTCTCAAAAATGTTGCTCCGTTTGAACAGTTTTCGCCCCTATTAATGCTTCCTTTTATGAAGGTCTTTTTACGATCTCCTAGTTTTTGCTCGTGACTGGTTACCAAACGCTATAACTTTTTCAAAATGTTGCAATCCTGCGATTGTAGTATCATATCTATACCCTTGCATCATTTGTTTATCTACGTATTGATTTATTGTGATGTGCTCTAATTCCAAGTATAATGCCTTGCTCCCTATGTCTCATCGCAATCTGAAGAACCAAACGGGCTGACTTTTTTTTGTTGACTGTTGTTTTTTCATTTATTCCATCGTTGAAGTGCTTTACATGTTGGATGAAAATTACTGAATTCTGTGTAGTTTGCATGTAACTGGAAACAATGACACCCAGGGTTTTCATCCCTTATTTAAACTGTTTTCTACCTTTTAGCCTTTTTCGTAATAGCGTGCTGATGATCCTTCACATTATTATCATTATTCGTTGGTGGAATTGGAAGCCAGTATAGTGAAAAGAATGCAATTTATTGGCTGTACCCGCCAAGCGACCGCAACACCTCCACCCACCATGTGTGACGACGGGTGTGTGACAAGTCGTGCGTCCGAGAGCTCGCCGACAAATTGCGCGGCGAAGTTCATGGCGAATTTGGACGACTGCGGCGTTTACCATTGGGGCCTAAATCTGAAGTAGGGTAGATTAATAAGGTCAGCTGATCCTGCTATTCTACTATACTTCGAAATTGGGCCCAAATAATAGGCGCTAAAGTCGTCAGAATAGGTATGAACTCCGCCGCGCAATTTGCCGCGCGCGCCCTCGGACACACGACTTGACCGTCCCCCGTGCACGACGCGTCACGGGCTGCTTTCAGACTTCGACGTCCGTTCGTTCGTCCGTCCGTCGCGTGCATGCTGCCACGGCGGCGCTAGGCAGGTGCAAACAACACTAGATCACGTGGCAGCCCTGTCAACACCTGTCTACCGCCGCTGTCGCAGCACACGCGCTACGGACGGACGTCGGTTGCCCCGTTCAAGTCTGAAAGCAACCACAAACTTCTCTCAATGTTATGTATAAATTAACTAAGCCGGCCAAGCTTGATAGAAATCAACCCGATCATTCGATTGCCACCGCTCAAGTGGAAATAGAATGTTTCTCTTCTCAATAGTGGGGATCAGTTCATTCTGAAAAGCCATTTTGATTCTGATTCGAGGGATGGCTTGTTTCATTAAGGGGAACCTTAATTTTTGTTGGGAAGGAATCTAACGGACTCTACCAAACCAATATTGCCAACTCTCAAGTGAGAAAACTGCAACACTGACAGCTCCAAGGCTATTTCTATGACGGTAAGCCAGTTCGATAGTGCCAAGTTCTACAACAAATCATAAATTATTTGCTAGAATAACGTAGTACGCTATAGTGTCTATTCTTCTACGAACACATGTTATTTTACAACTAGCAGTAGTGGTACTCTGCAGTCTTCAAAGGTATCTAAAATTTGTGCCCAAAAGATGCACACGGCGCACCTATCAGGCGCTGTCCAGCGCTATACTTTGTGGCTATGGAATCGATAGGGTTACGTGTTCCAAGAACTTGTACTTCTACACTATCATTTATTGGTTGAAAACTTGCTGCCGATCGACGGCAATGACCGCCCACCAAAGACATCCAGCCAGCCATCGATTTCAGTGGGCGGGGTTGTGCGCCGTTTACAATTGTCGTGCAAACTGGCGCGCCTTTGCTGTTAAGAGCGTTTTGAGATTTTTTCTCCGATGCTTTCATATTTAGTAGTTTTAACAACAATCCGAGCAAGGTGTTCGGTTAAAAAAGTAAGCCGCTCTCGTTGAATACATTGCCTGGACAGTTAGTGCTCGGTCCTGTTGGAGAGAGATCGTTTGTTTTTTTCCCTTGAAAATAGAAGGCTGTTAGTTGCACCAATTTTTCATGGGAAGTGAACGTCAGCTCTTGGTTAAGAGATTGGCTTTCTTTCTGAGATTCATCGCTTAGTGAAAGTATCATGAAGGCTTTTTGTAGTGTTCGCTTATGAACCAGAATTATTGGTGTGGTTACCTGCTCCTTTATGATATGACCGTAAAGAAGTATTTAATGGAAAATAACGAGGACTGGATAACCATCCATTCTTTGTAGAGGCGTAAGAAGGTGGAAATTCATCGCGCCTGAAATTGCTGTCTCCATCTTATTGGTAGCATGAATGCACCAGAACTTCACCCTTCCGATTCATCCAGTCGTTCAAGGTGAGCAGAACCAGTCTTACCAGAATAGAGTTATTTTTAGTGGAAAAGAAAAGTATTAATATAAGCCTCTAAGCTGTAGTAGATTATGATGTCTGAATTGGAAAGCAGTGATAGTTTCTCCTGCAGTTGGTTTCACTTTGATTCTGGATTTCAGAAATTTCCGTCCGAAAATTCTGGAATCCAGAACTAAAGTTGAACCCACTGGTGGAGCTGTCGACAGTTGTCACAAAAGTTCGTTGCGATCACGCAAGAAATATTTCGAATTTGGAGAGTCGTGGATAGACGATCAAGGAACTGCAATATTACGGTATGCGGAATTCGTAACCTAGCCGTTCCAGTCGAGTTCCAAAGAAACAGCAAACATTCTACTTTTAGTCGCTGAATTGATGTATTATGTAAACTGATAAGTTAATATAAACTTAATGATATTTTTAAGACATCCCAGGGTGTTCAATGACAGGAAGAGGATATGCGTCATATGTGGGGAATCAAGTGATGAACGAGAAATGAGAAGCGCATCTGCTACGAAAGTGCAAAATGCGATTCTGCTGGCATGTCTGTCAGCATGTGGAGGTTTAAAGGAAAATGCGGATGCGAGAACCATTTATGAAAACTGCCATGAGAACAGAAAGTTCCTATGTCATCCTCACTATGTGCTCGCGGTAAGCTGATTTGATTACTTATGTTTCATGTTTGTTTCAATGTTTCAAATCTAGGTTTATAATTAAGTTTCGTACAAATTCGACATATGCCAAAAGCGATGTGTATGCAGCCACACTCCGCCTCCATTGCCGCGACGCATGAGTCACGCTAGCGGTAGTTGACGTAGCTTTATGGTTGCATCATATGCTGCTCTCACACTTCGACGTGCGTGCCAGCACGCAGGTGGAAACGCAAGTACAATCTAGTGTGCGGCGTGCGAGCGGCTATGCGACGGCGGCGCTAGAGA